CCCATCTACTTCCTACTGAAGTAGCTCAATCAGTTACTCGGTTGCTGTTTTTAGTGGGATCGCTGGTTGAGTTCGAGAATCCTCCAAGTAATCGTTCCCACTTCGTGTTGATTCCCTTAATCGATTTTGATCGATTCTATCGATCGAATATGCTTATATGTATCTTCATCACGGTCTTGTGTGTGTATATATGTGTGGTCGAACGATTGTTTGCATTAGCGCTTACCAAAGTTCCCGTTCATAGCCAGCTCGATCAAACGTCAACCTCAACACCATTGGTCAATCTCGTGGGTCCCATAGATCTTATAACAATAGTAGCCATTAGCACCCACTTACCAGCAAGTGTATCCATGGCTCTTTAAACAGAAGGATGTTCAGGAGTGACTGGTGGGAACTCTTTAGAAACAGCTGTCCGTTTTTTCTCGTCATCCTTTGTTTAGGGCTTGTCCCTATTAGGACGCACTTGTCGTTCACTTCTTCTCATTTTATTTATTTGCTGGCGTTGTATCCCTACAAAAGCATTTATTGATTCCCAAACTTGCAGATTATATACTCACTTGAATGTCTTGCTATTTTGAATGGTAGTCGCATTCGTGGCGCATCCCGAAAATTGCTCCAACTTTGTCAAAGAATTTGTCAGCTCCAATCTTTGTAAGCTATTTATTGATATTACAGAGCCCATAGGGTAAAGTCGTATAAGGATTGGGTATCGCTCTCATAAAATAAATTACCATGGTTTTTCAATAACTATCGCTCAACAGAATTATAGAGCCACTTATCACAGTGCGAAGCCCATCAAACATCGCTCATTGATGTGCCGCTCTACTGGTTTTCACAGTAGTTAACCAGCCAATTCACCAGTGCAGCAGCAGTAGTAGCCGTTCCAGGCGGGGGATCATTTTTTGCGGTGGGCATCCGTCAGATGACGGGGCTTTTTCGTTCAACTTTGAGAGTTCCTGTTATGTCCGTTCACTCATTAATCGAATTCGTTGTTGTAAAGCTCGTTAGATTTTGATGGGCAAAAAAAACGCGAAGTAAAAAATATGACCGCCGCCATTGAACGCCTGTTCTACGGGAGCTGACGGTGTAACTCGAAATTGGATCACAGTCCATTGAGGAGGTCTCGTGCCATCGTAATGTCTATTTCAGGGTCATTTCTGGTGATCATTTGCCTTTTTTTCTTCTTTGTTCCAAAAGAAATCGTGTTAGCATACTTTGTAAGCAATAGGTACGTTTAGCTGTAACTGTTTTGGTCTCATTGCTTCTGATCTGAAGCCTAGGGTGTTGTCTTGGAAAGAAACTTGCTTCGAATCCTTCAATCCTCATATTACTTTAATGATTGAAATGAACATTTCGAATATCGACTTTTTGCAATAATTCTGGCTCGGCAATTCAAAGAGCATTGAGTTGCACGGCTTAGTCCATGTGCCCTGATCAATCCTGAACAGCTCGTCCTTAATCATCATACAAAGTACACTTTAGTCCCAGCACTTCTTCTGTTTGGTCTTATCCCAAAAGAATCCCAATCATAGGAAGCATTCCATTTAGGGAACATTGCCCAGGGGAGCTATTTCTGGGCGAGTATGACGAGCTTCCGACTGAACAACACCCGCCTGCAAAAG